AACTGTTTTGCCTTTGCCTATTTAATAAATTAATTGTAAGTATATATATTTTTTAATCAATTCGTGATATTGAAATACTCAAATGAAATTGAAAATGTAAGGTAATTTATAACACAAGATGGTAAAAGTCGAAAGCGTCAAAATTCCATAACGAATGCTTGAAAGGATCTCATGATTTACAGTAAATTTTCGTTTAGCATTTTCCCCTTCGAACGGAGAATATTGGAAAGTCATCAATTCTACGTTAGGGTGAGCCTCATTATGACGAACGTACCATGCTGTAGTCAGGCACTAGGTATGGTACATAAAGTACTAACAAAACGGACTTTGCATAACCAGTAATAATTCTTCGATATAAAACTTTGAGAATTTCACGAATGATTACATTTGGTCTAAAATGTTATACTGAGTTTGGAACTTTACAATTATCACTTCAAAATTATCTGTATTTTAATTATAATAATTTCACGCTTAAATGGATTTTTATTACTATTTACATGGAAGTTCCCTAGAAGCTATTTATTAAAAAACTTAAAAAACCGACTTCCAGGCACTAAAATCTAAAAAATAACTAAACAGGGGTTTTCATTTAGAAGAGATACCTAATCAGATATTTTCGAAGTACAATATTTTAATGTATTAAACACTATAAATCTCATTTGAAGACAATCTCGATCAAGTTAGCATATCTAACTCAGAACTTTGCTTAACTACTCAGGAAAACAAACATACTAACTTCTGTTATAAGAATTTATAACATCTATAAGTGGATGCAAAAGCAAACTCAATTTATTTCTTATATGATTTATGATTCAATTTAGTAAATTACTTTAATTAATAAGATTTTTAATAATAATAACGTAATCTACGAGTAATTTAAATGTAGGTAGTGGCCCAATGGAAACATGAATCATGTTCAACATGATTACCACTTGCCTTACAATAAAGGAAATCATCGTGAAGAAACCTGCAAAATCTATACATATAATAAAATAATAACTAAGTCTAATCTGTACATTAAATATTTTTTGGAAAATCTTATCGAAATAGACATCATTAGGTATCGATAAAGAGGCCGGATCTATAGTTTTTAGAATTTTTGTCTGTTTATCTGTATGTCTGTTACCGCATCACGAGAAAACCACTGGACGGATTTTGATGAAATTTGGTATGATATTTCTGAGAAAAAATACAAAAACTGCATTGTAAGAGTATACTAATGTGTAAAACCTAAGAATTTGGTTTTTGGTCATCTATACGCGGGCGGAGCCACGGACAATGCTAGTTCACAAATAAAGTATATTTAAAATAATGTTAAAGGTCCCCACCCATTCGAAACGTCGGAAAGAATAAAAGTTTTATTTAAAACGTCAAATGTTTGGATATTTCTGAAAAAAGAATCATAATTTTATTCGACGGGAAGATATTATCGGAATAAAAATGGGGGTCTGATAATCCGAGATATCGTGTATGTCATCTGTGTGGGGCGAGTCTCTAAATTCGTTTAACGGTTTACGCATGATCGAGTAACCAATATTAGTAGGACTAACTTTTGCCCAAGACTCCGCTTGATAACTCATTGATAAAAAAACGTTAAAGCATGTGACATATATTCAAACTAGTCCATCAACATATATATTAAGGAATGTTATGTTCTTAGCAATTTAACCCGATTTCGAGACTACCTGTACTGTACTATTATACTGCCCTTCTGACCGATTTCACCCCGACGGCCCCGGAGGCCAATCTCATCTGCGAAGAAGATAATATTTGTTTCTCTGTCCAATAAGTTAAGTCCTTTGATTTAAGACAAGTCCTAAGATTTTGACAAGGCTGATGATAACCAATACATCAATAATAATTACATACCAATTGTACAAACGGCCAACACAAAAAATTTACCACCTGATCTATTAATAAAAAACTTTTTGAGCCTATTTCATTACCTTAGCATTTCAAAAATTCCTTTCTCGTCGAATGTCCATTGACCATGTTATTAAAGGAACAAGCTATCGAAATTCCGATCTACCTGACATTTGCCCGGCGGCTTATTTTCTAATTAGATATTTGGAAAATATTGTTTAGAGGAAAATGAAAAATCCTTCATAGGATACAGTCATTTAATTATATATTCATAATAATAATAATTCAGACCTTTTTAACGACCCACCGGCTTTCTCTTAGAGTAAGGAGGCTCAAGCCAAAGTGCGTGTTGGCAGATTTGATGTCTTTTAAAACTATTAAAGTTTTCGTACAAGCAGGTTTCCTTGCGTGTTTTCCTTGACTGTAAGAAAAGCTGTAATTATATTGAAATATGATTCACAGACTACAATATCAGAGTTTTGTATGGTTTGAATAGGCTTCTTTTGAATTGGCGTTTTTAAACGAGAGCATTACCATTGGGCCACACCATTACCATAATATTATAACAAGTTTATAGGTACATGCTATTGTTTCAGCCCTATGATTTGATTTAGGTATTGATAAATTCGTATTGATAAATTATTCAGGACCAGCTGCTTTATCTTTACGTATAAGAACGTTAATCCATACTAATATTATAAATGTGAAAATAATTCTATTTGTTCACACTTGAATTTCGGAAAACATGTCGATATAAACTAGCAAGGATACATCCTGATATCGGAAATAAGGCAACCTCGAACCCCGCCCCATTTATCACTCGAGGAAAGTAACGGACAAAAGCTAGTAAAATATAAACCATAATTATTTTATTTTTTCTTATAATACCGCACTGATTACATAAAAACGTAGGCGGACTTCAAAAATCATCTTTAATAATATCAGCCGTGACTAATCTCCATCTGACAGTATCGTCCCTCATTAAGACAATGCTTTGTATTGAAACCTTAAAAGCTGTACCTACTTCAGCAGTAATTTGCTCCGAAATTAAATATCAGTGAACAATCCATCGACATTATATTGTGTAAAGTTTGAAAATTTTTAACTTATAACTTCAAGTATGAAAACGTGACATAAAAAAATTAAATGAGGAGTCTATGGACCCCCGGTTAGAACGAAATTCCTTTCACTTTTTGGTAGACGTTTGCTATACAGTCATTATGTTACATTATAAAATATTAAGTTGATAGAGTTTAATTGAAAAATTACGAGAGTATACATATATTTATTAAGTATAAAATAAATAATAATAAATTAAACACTGAATGATCTGGTATAATTAAGTTAATAAGAAATAAAAAATGAAAAAAATAAAAAGAAGAAAAAATGAACTACGAGTAAATTTTATTTTATTAAAAATACTTTTTTAATTTTAGAAATAAACATTAATTATCTATACATATAATAAAATTGTAAGTATTTTTTGGGAAATCTTATTGAAATAGACGTTACTATCGATACAGAGTCCGAATGTATAGTTTTTAGAATTTTTGTTTGTCTGTCTGTCTGTTACCGCATCACGGAAAAAGCACTGGAGGGATTTTTATGAAATTTGGTATGATAATAGTTGGTTATCTCGGTCAACATATAGGATAATTTTTATTGCGGGAAAATATCTCTTCTCTGAGAAATTTTTACTAAATGATAAAACGTAAGTAGGGACGAACCCGAGCGGAGCCAAGGTGAGTCGCTAGTTTACTATAAAAATATAAATAAAAGTTTAAAAAAAACAAAGAGAAGAGAGCCGTCGAGTCTTTCGGCGCGCGGGACAGCTGCGTGTGAAGATATATATAGTTCATACACGGTTGTAACTATAGTAAGAAGTGTCGGAAAAAAATCTTATTACCTACTCTAATGCCCGATTTCACCAATAACCCATAAGCTACCACCTACGTATGGGATCGCTAGCTTAAATGTCCCCTAAACTAGCCCCTAAATTTAATTTCGTTTTACGATTGTCTTTAAGCCCATATTTCGAACACCTAAATTTGGGGGGCCTTTTAATATTTAGGTGACCCCTAACTGTCGGTGAAACAGAAACTGTCCCCTAACAGCCCCCTAACCATGCTTAGGGGATCCCTTAAACTTAGATGACGTTGGTGAAATCGGGCATAACTCTTTCATCTTTAACTCTAAGCATTAGTATGCGACCGCTTCTGCCAGCCATTGCCAAGTTGTGGCCTTCAAATATACTTTCAGAAAATTACTTTTATCTGTTCATCTCAAGTCTGTAGCTTTTTTTAATTAAAAATTAACTTAATAATAATTTAGTCGTTTTCAAATAGAATGAGATAGTGGTGCTTCGTAAGGAACAAAAAATATTTATTTTACTACAGACCCAGACTGTCAAAGTAAACAAATTTTCCCGACATTTAAGTGAATGCAGTTTTTAAAATATGTACACAATTTTAACTCAAATTAATTAAATTAATTTCTTTAAAGAAGTTAGGGGAATAATATTGCCCGCATACATGCCTACAAATTCTTCAGTCGGCCTTGATTGTATAAAAAGCATAAAATATAGAATTTATAAAGAGCTTACGTTATTTTATTATTATTATTTAAAACTTATTATACTAAATCGTATTATTTACATTACCACCAACACTTTATCCTAACTTAGCAAATGGAGCACATCGCAATCTTCTAATACAATCGAACGGCCATTTTTTTATGTCAAATCATGACATTTCAACATCCGGCTTTTTTATTGGAACACCCTATATGTGTAGAATATTTTATTAGCAACTCTTACCCTCACATGGATAGTAAATTAATCTAGACTAGTTAATGAAGGACCTTCCATAATTTAATTTTAAAGAAGCCTTTGCCAGTAAAGTATAAAATATCAATATTTAACGTGTGTGTGGTGTGGTTTAACAACAAAATCCTTTAATATATAATTATTAAATTAAAGTTTTTATAATTACTATTATCAAATTATTATATTACTAACAATAAATACGCTATAATAACTTATTACATATATACATAAGATATAATAACTTACTATATCTGTTTACTATGATTACTCACTATATATATTATGTATATTTTAGACATATTTTATTTTGCAGCTGATGAAAACGGGTCGATATCAGAAACAATACCAGATCGACCCGTAGAACTGAAGAACTTTCCAAAGCTGTGCGAACAAAGAAGAAAATTCCCTGTGCTGTATAAACTGGAATTTCAGGTAGGTACGTTTGGGTTTTATAATGAGGTAGATTAGCTTACTCAGCATTTTGAAAATTAGATACGCACTGATTATAATCTATATATTATAATTTCATACTACAAACTTGGTAAGCAATTTATTTATACGAGTTTAATGAGAATGTAATAAATTTATTAATCTCGTTAATATTAACCTTGTGAAAGTAAGCGAAGATGTTAGAAAGTACGTGAGGATGTTTTGGAACTTACTTAAGCGTAATTTCTTGAGGGATTTGGAAGAAACTTCGCCATACATCCAATACCACATACTGGACTAAAACAGAGAATATATATATATATATATATATATATATTCCGTTAATGTATTTTGCTAGGATATTTCAAAAGTACTTTTCTTAGTTATTACTAATATTTTTATTAAATTATACGGTGTCAGTATTCTATTCGATTTTACCTAAGAACGTTGAAAAAGAAGAAAAGACTCATTTTTCACGAGCTTAAAGCCGCGCGCAGAACAATTCTACGGAAATCTACGGAGGAATACGACAAGTTCACTACAAATTCGTTCACTACATAAATTCGTACAATTCAGCTGAGACATTATTATAATAAAATTAGATACGTCTAAAATGTTTAATTTAAGATTCAAGAGCAAGATTGTTTACTTTAGGCAAGTTGAAGACCAGTGGTAGCGCACTTGCTTGGAAAACCAGATGAAGCGGTTTCGATCCCCGGGCCTCGCATCTCTAATATTTTCATGTGCGATTTTTTTAACTTGATTACAATTTCTGTTATGGTGAAGGGAAAAATCATGAGGAAATCTGCAAGTTTGAGAGAACCTAGTGAGTTTTCGAAAGACATGGGAATTCCGCCAATTAGCACTTGGCCAGCGTGGTGGACTATAACCTGAACCCCCTTTCACATTAATTAAACCCAGTGGCCAGCAGTTGCATGTTAAATAGGGGATGAATACACACTATTAAGTTTGACAATGACACGTATAAGTTTGTAGACACGAAACTTATTGCTGTCATCGTATAGCTCAACTTTAATAATTCTTTTGACTCGCTAAATTTAGAAGTCCTGTTAGATGTCCACAAACTTATCTCGTGACATCATTAAATGCTTTAGTTATTACTGCCATGTTTGGCAACAAAGTGTCCGTGCCGATAATACTTTCTTTTCTTCCTTTGCTCACTTGACATATTGTAAGCTGGCACCGACTTCGAAAATATCTGATTAGATATCTATTTATAATATGTACATGTTATCTTTTAGTATAGCAGTGTGAAGGACAATCAATATCAAATATTAAGGACTGGCTGTTTTCCATACATCAACTATCATTGTTCTAAAAATGAAGAAGAAGATTTAAGTGTATCAGATAAATTTATGAGGATAGTTAAAATTATTAATTTAGGTAGGTTAGGTTTTTTTTAGTAAATATAAATATAAAAATTATTTATTCTAATTGAAAACCTCCGTTTAGTTATTTTTTACATTTTAGTGCCTGGAAGTCGTTTTTTTTTTAAGTTTTTATTTTTCCATTTTTAGTGTAGGCGTCATAAGCAGGTAATTTTTAAGAAGAAAGCTTTTTAATAACATATTCGATTAAACAATTTATTTTTAAAAATATTTATTTTTGATTTTTTAAAAAACCTCTCGAACGATTTTGATAAAATTTATATAGGACCACCTGAAAAGTATACCCATTGAAAGAAAAAAAATCAAATCGCTTCAGGCGTCTTCGAGTAATCGGTGAACATACATAAAAAAAAGATTCCGACGAATTGAGAACCTCCTTCTTTTTGGAAGTCGGTTAATAAAGTCCATACTTCGAGCGAATCTGAGTCTGTCTGACAATGCACATACGACACAGGTTAAGTTATAAGCAACTTATCAAAATACTCTTAAGTTTAGAGTCTAAGGTAGTGTACCTGTAATATATAGAAACACTTAACTACTCGTTGCTTTAAGTATTCCTATTAAAACCTAACCTAATGAGAGAATTTATTTTCTTCAACTATACGGAGGTAAAAAGAAAAATTTGGAACATAATAATAATAATATACAATTCTTCATTCTCATAATTCACACTCACACTTTAACACCGTGTTGAAGTTTCGCAAGAGAAAAATTAAATAAGTTTCATATATTTAGTAACATACTATGATAATTGAATTATATTTTTATATGAAAATAAGAAACTAGAAATAATACTAATAGCACATGAATGGGATTTTAAATAAATTTTATAATGTCCATAGTTAAAATAAAACAATTTATATATTAACACAAGTAATCAGATATCACATAACGACATATTATGTACTAGCATTGCCCGCGGCTCCGCCCGCGTTCAGATGACTAAAAACCAAATTCTTAGGGTTTACATATTAGTATACTGTTACATTGCAATTTTTATATTTTTCTCAGAAATGAGACATTTTCCCGCGGTAAAAAGTATCCTATATGTTGACCCGGATAACCAGCTATCATTATACCAAATTTCATCGAAATCCCTTTAGTAGTTTTTCTGTGATGCGGTAACAGACTAACAGATAGACAGACAAAAATTCTAATAACTATAGATTTGGCCTCTGTATCGATAATAATGTATATTTCAATAACATTTTACAAAAAATATTTAATGTACAGATTCGGCTTAGTTACAATTTTATTATATGTATAGATAAGTTTCTGCAATCTTGTAGTGAATCACATCGACTCCTCTACACATTCTGAATTGCGAGCTTTGCCTCATAATTAAATTTACAAGTCCGCAGCAGATGTTTCTATACAGCATAAGCTCAAGTTTCACGTAAGAGGCTTGTACAGCATACTCATATATAACGTATTGTACAAGTATTTACTAAATGTAATTTAAGTTCTACGGGATGTTTATATTTATGAATATTTTAGTGCTAGCCCTGGCATTACTCAAGTGGCAGACAGTCATAAGTAAGTCTACTTAAGTCTCAATTAGTATTTTTGAGTTAATAAACTTTGTTTGTGAACCAGTACGTCATTCCAATACCTTTTTGTTGTAAAATATTCATAAGTTAAAGTTTTCCTAGATTAAGCCCCTTGTTTTGGTAAAGACTGTATACAAATCCACACAACAGTAGCTAGAGAGATAAACCCGAACAAACACAAATGCAGATCATCTAGGGGCTTTCCTTGCTACATAATATTTTTAACAACAATCCTTGCAGAATGCAATATATATATGCAGTTTTTGTATTTTTCCTCAGAAATGAGATATTTTCCCGCGGTAAAAAGTATCCTGTAAGTTGACCCGGATAACCAGCTATCATCATACCAAATTTCATCAAAATCTGTCCAGTAGTTTTCTCGTGATGCGGTAACATACAGACAAAAATTCTAAAAACCATCGATTCGGTCTCTGTATCGATAATAATAATAATAAATTTTATTTCAAGTAACCTAAGACTCATATTTTGTTAGTATACAAAGTGCTTATATTCTATGTTAGTACTTACACTCTAAATACATTTTAGATACATATACTTTTACATTCATATACATTTATACATTACTAACAAGAATAGCACAGCAGTGGTTAACATATCTACAATCCAACCTACTGGTTACCCTCATGATGCTGTTGGTACTACCCTGTAATCTATCCACCAGGGACCCACATCTTTTGCGCATCGTGGCATAGAAACAATTTATCCTCGCTGCTGCGAACATCCCTGATGCACTACAAAAACGGGGCAATCCCAACAGTACCCTAAAGCCATTATTGTATTGAACACGAAGCGCGTTATAAGATTTTTGAGAGTACTTGGCCCACAGGTTGCACGTGTAAAAAGTTGTACAATATGCTCTGTATACATAATGTCTATTTCAATTAGATTTTCCAAAAAATATTTAATGTACAGATTCGACTTAGTTACAATTTTATATATATATATATATATATATATATATATATATATATATATATATATATATATATATATATATATATATATATATAAGCACAACTTAATTATATAAAGTATAAAATTTACTTAGTTTTAGTTCCTAAAACAAAAATTCTATAGGATGCGGTGCCAATACCATTCCTCTGCCAAGTCGCCAAAAGCTTTAATGCTGAAAATCTGGCTGCGCTAATGAAGTAATACTGCTAATGAAAAAGAGAGGTTAATTAATGAAAATTAAAATCGTACCTGGTTTTATATTTTTATATTAAATTCGTTTATATAATTCTTGTAAATATTTGTTTATAATTTAACTATAATGCGAGTTTTTAAAATAATCATATACATACTTAGTATTATAAATGTGAAAGTGTGTTTGTTTGTTTGTCTTCTTTTCACGTTGAAACGGAGTGACGGATTGGCGTGATTTTTTGTGTGGAGATAGTTGGAGGACTGGTGAGTGACATAGGCTACCTTTTATCACCGGAGATTATCTCACTCGCACGCGAAAACACGTTATAATACAACCAAAAAAAGTATTTATTATCAGAGTTATTGAAACTTGGTATTAATGCTCTTTAATACAATTAAAGAAATAGGTACGTGTTTTAGCATTTTTCGAAATTTACCATAAGAGGGTAAAATAGGGGATGAAAGTTTGTATGAAACCTATCTTTTTATAGTTTTTCTTTGTAGTTTTAGCGTGAGTGGAGCCGCGGGTTCTGCTAGTTAATTTATAAAAAATTAAAATATTATGGTAAATATAGTCCACATAATAATGAAGACAACAATTTTTAATTATACCAAAATATCGAAAGCTTTGTTCAATTAGTAGTGATAATGTTACGTTCCAAGAACAAAAATAATTATACTTTATTAAATGCCTTTGTGATGGACAATGGACATTCCGCGAGAAGATAAGTAAAAATATATATGGAACAGAGAAGAAGTATTTAAATGCGGCTTACAAAGATGTGCGATGTGAGAATTTATGATTATCAGATCCTGTAGATGTCATAAGCCGCTATTTTTTTTAGTTTCTTATTAACCCTTTATTAGCCGACTTCCA